GGAAGGTACCGGAGCTCTCGCACGAGGCATGTCTGCCATCTGAAAGGAACTCACAAGGAGTCAGCTTTTCCTATCAGCAGCTTTTAGACAAATTGCATGGATTTGTATTAAATATTTTAATGATCTGTATGCTTCTTATGCTGTATGTTTAATTTTTTAAAATTCTCTTTGTGTGGTGAAGAAATGAAACAATATCTTGAAGTTGGCTGAATTAGTTTCATCCATATAGCCTAAGGAAGCAATACCCAATTCTCAGAATTCAGTAAAGCATGGAGTTTTCTTTATATGAAAAAAGAAAAGCTTCAGTTGGGGCTCGGGGTGGGAGGAGGTGTGGGGTGGAGGATGGGAGTTGAGAGGAGGCTGAGCAGAGCATCAGACAAGAACCGCAGCATTTGCACACGTGGTCCCCATAACCCTGTGTCAACCGTTCTCCCAGGAACCAGCCTCGGCAGCTTTGATCTGACAGCCTTCGTTTCCATCCCTCTGCTTGGCCCTTCAGAGAGCAAGGACTAGAGTATAAACTCCATGAGGGCGGGGAGAGTGTCTGTCTTCTTCAACAGTCATTCCTCAACCTGTGTTTGTTGTGACCGAATAAGGAAATAGAGAAGCCATACATGTTAATGACAGGCAATCTTAGTGAGAAGTTGGAAATGTTATTTGGGCTCTTTTTCATTCTTTAATACTGCTTTTCAGACTAAAGAAGAAGAATTAAGGAAAAGGCTACGGAGTGACCGACTTTTGCCCCCAGCCAGTCATTCAGCTTCAGCTGAATTGGGTAGGGCCAAGGTTCCATTTACCAAACTGCTTACCCCTGGGAGTTCTGCTGTGTTTGAACCATCTGACCTGCAAGAAGGAAAGCTACTGAAGAGGAAGAAGAGTAAGAGTGATGCAACCTCAAGTGATAGAAACTACGATTATGAAGGTATTGGGGTCGTGGAGTCAGACATGTCCTACAACCAAGCGGATGACATATTCTAATGAGCTATCTTATGAGTTTCGTGAACAGGCATCCATTCTCCCCAGTTGTGACATTTGTAGTGTGTCTCATGTTTTTCTTTGACTGCCTGAGCTCACCCCACTGAGTTTAGGATTGATTGTGTGAGCTCCATGGGTGGGAGGTTAGTTGAGTAAATTAAATGGCTGTGCTAGCTAAAAAAGGGAAGATGTGTCTGGTTTCGCTATTATATAGTTGGCATTCTCCTCGAGTGTGGCTTCAAATATTGTGAAGATGTCTATAATTTGTGAGTCCTTCCAGCTTACATTAATGTGTTTGTGCCAAATGAAATCCTTCTTTTTCGTTCCTGCCTCTTCCCTATGTCCACCCTCTGAGGGTGCTTTAAGACAAAAATGTATGGATTTGTATTAAGTATTTTAATGATCTGTTTGCTTCTTATGCTGTATGTTTTTTTTTAATTATTCTCTTTGTATTGTGAAGGATCAAAGCAATATCTGGAAGCTGGTTGAATTATATATTATATATATAGGTTAAGGAAGCAATATCCAATTCACAGAATTAAGTAAAATATGGAGTTTTCTTCATATGAAAAGAGAAAAGCTTCTGTTGGGGCTCGGGGTGGGAGGAGGTGCGGGGGAGTGGGGAAGCTGAGAGGAAGCCTTAACAGAAGCGCCTGCCTTCCCTGCGGGCACTAATTGAGGAGTTTGCTGGCCCTCCTCTTGGTGGAATTATACTTTGCTTCTTCTCTCTCCCTCACCACCCACATCCAATCAACTATCAAGTCCTATAAGCCTACATTCTAAGGATCTCTTGTATCCATTTTCATACTTTTCCCCTGTCACTATCTAGTTTAGACCATTCTACCATCTTTCAACTTACAATAATCTTCTCCATATTTATACAACAGTCAGTCTTCTGCTTAAAACTCTTTCTTGGCCCCAACTTATGGTCAAGATAAAGTCCGGACTCCTTTTTGTGACTGGAAAGGATCTCAGCTTTCACAATTCACTCATGCTGAGCTTCCAGTTCCTCAAACTTGGCACACTTTTCCTAGCCTCTGGGTCTTTGCACATGCTCTTCCCTCCTTCCTCTCTCCCCTTTTCCTGACTTTACTTGACTAATGCCTTCTTGTTGTTTATGTCTGCACTCAGACACTACTTCCTCCAAGCCTCCTGGTCTGGGCTGGTGCTCCTCTCTCATAGTTGCCTTTTGGCCCTGCACTGCTGCTCATCTTTGTGCTTACCCCCTTCTGTAGGAATTGCCTGAAACATTTCCGTTTTCACCACTAGATATTTCAGTTCTGACAGGTCAGAGGACGGGTCTGTCGTGAGCATGGGTGTACCTCAGTCAAAGTACCTTGGAAAGTGAATGGCTCATAATAAGTGCTGTGTAACTATTTCTTTCATGGATGTATCAATATACTCGTACATCTTCCAGAAGTAGGAGGACAGCCCCAGGAGATGGTTTGTTTTCCTGGGAACCAGTGGCTGGGAGTGGTGATGATTTGAGTTGCGGACCACTCGGCACCTCCTGTTTACACATCCCCTTCAGGATGTTGCAAATGGCGGCTTGTGTTCCTATAGCCTGTAGGACTGAGGACTCCTGCAACCAGTGAGGTACCGTGGTGGTGGTGGAGGGGGACTTTTTCAAAACTCATTCCAGAACCCAAACCTGTAAGAGTCAGAGTCTACTGCTTATAGCGTGACCTAGAAAGTCCTGCAGGCTCTCTGTGTCTGCATTACCTTATATGTCAATTTGGGACAGCGACCTTCACGCAGTTGTACCAAATGAAATAATGCGTTTAAAAGTACTGTGTAAACTAGAATACACTCTAATATTTATAGAATATTATTTCTGTAAAATCCCATGTGAGCAGCATGCTGTTTTCATCTGTCCCTGTGAGGATAAGCTCGTGGTAGCACGTGCCAATCTTATAAAATATTCGAGTAGCTAAAATGATTGTACTAGGACATTTAGGAAGGGATTGGGGTGTCATTCAGATCTCGACAAATAAAATTTAAGTACCTAAAAATACATTCAATGCAAATTTATAGTATCTTGTAAGTTAAATCCTCAAATTTGCTAAATACCCAAATAATCTTTTCTCTTGAAATCTTATGCTCTTGCCTATGCTGTTTATGGCGGCTTAGATGACATGTCTGTAGAGTTAGAATATATACAGTATAGATGTGAACATTATCATTGATACCCTGGCTTGAAAACCTCTCTGCATATATAGAGTTAAACATGCCAAGGACTAACGCCCTCTAAATGACAAGCTGTGTATTTTCTTTCTTTTTATTTTTTATTGCGGTAACACTGGTTTATAACATTATATAAATTTCAGGTGTACATCATTATATTTTGATTTCTGTGTAGATTACAGCATGTTCACCACCCAAAGACTAATTGCCATCCATCACCACACACATGTGCCCAATCACCCCTGTCGCCCTCCTCCCTCCCCGCTGCCCCTCTGGTAACCACCAACCCAATCAGTTTCTGTGGTTGTAGCTGTGTATTTTCTTAGTGAGACCATCCACTTTCGCAGGATGAGAAGAGAAAAGATGAAAATGTGGCCCACCTAGATACCCGGAACTGCTCTAAAACTCTAGATTACTGCTCACAAAACTATCTAAGGGTTTAGGGATGAGGAAACGGAGGCTCAGAGACTCCAGGCACATCCCACCTTCTCAGAGCTGCCAGCTTCACCCGCGATAGAGCATGGGTTTGAACCTGCTCTGCCTCCAGTGTTGACCCGTTCCCTGCAACACTTTTTTTTTTTTTAACTTCAAATATAAATGCGACTTTTTTCCATGATCATCTTTCCTTTTTTTTTTTTTTTAGGATAGTTTATACTGAAGAGTAATGGAAAAGAAAGATTGAGATTTCTAAAATAGAGCCTCTGGGATCATGTTAATTTTATGTATTGAAATAACATAATTGGTTTTTCCATTCTTAAAACATAAAAGTTTTGAACAACCACCAGGGTATTTGAACTAAAATCAAATCACAACCTTCAGGAAGTTATGAACCAGGAAGACAAGATTAAGTAAACATCTCTATAATCATTTTAACTGGGGTCAACTTAAAAATGTCTGTACACATTTCTTGTGAAAGATGACCTTTCTCTGTCTAAAGATACTTTGACATCTAGTAAATTGTCTAGTTTTTTTGGGGGAAAAACATTATGGATAACTTATACTTAAAATGCTATTTAAAAGGTGTATTTTTAAATATTTCACATATATTTAAAGTAATACACGTAAGATTCTTATGTCAGTAAAAGTAATTTTGTATCGGGGGACAAAAATAGAATTTATCAGAGTGTTGCTATAGCGACTACCAGTAATTTCTGACTGTGCTTATTTCTGTGTTTGTTATTCCATTATCAGTAAATAGCTGGTATTTAAAGGAGTAATTATATGGTAAATACTGCATTCTAAAGATGTGCAATGCTACGGCGTGTCAGTGGATAGATCACTTTGGTGCCCATATAACCTGTGTACATAGTGCCTTCTTGTAAGACGGTAGAATTTACGTCTCGGGCAGGTCAATAAAGGGCATTATTTTAAAATAAACTATGGGAGACAACAGTTATGGTCTCTCTGTGTCACTTGTATTTGCTTTTTAAAAACAATAGCTGCCTCTTTGTTATTTTTTTTTAATTGCATAAGTAATATGTAACAGGAAACACTGAAAAACATATGCAAAAATTACCTGGGACTCAACGTTTTTCCCTCCCACTAAGATAAGTGCTAGAAAATGCTATACATACTTTAATACTTTTTCCTCACAAAAATGGACTCACACTATATAGGCTGTTTTATAACTTGCTTTATTCACTCAACAATACAGTATCTTTCCATGTAATTAACCCTATTTCCAGAGCATAATTCTTTTTTCTTTCTTTCCTTTTTTTTTTTTTTTTTTTTGCTGAGGAAGACTGGCCCTGAGCTAACATTCACGCCCATATTCCTCTACTTTATATGTGGGACACCTGCCACAGCATGGCTTGCCAAGCAGTGCCATGTCTGCACCCAGGATCCAAACCAGCGAACCCCGAGCCACTGAAGTGGAACGTGCTTACTTAACTGCTGCACCACCGGGCTGGCCTCCAGCATAATTTTTAATGATGTAACATTGTTTAATGTCCCTCTTATGTTTCTAGGGGTTCCCATAATTAAAGACAATCAGAACACAGGTTTCCATTTCTGTTTTAAAAATGTTGATAAGTAAAATAACTTGGACATTTCTCTGTTAACGCCAAGCAGCCTGAACCCCTTGGAGGGCAGAAAGTGCCATGCTCCCTCTCCCAGCACACCACTTCCATCATCTTTGTTCTTGGTCACTGCCCCTCTGTGCAGGACTGGGAGTGCAAATGAACCCTGAAGGTCAGATGCAACCAGTGTTGCAGATCCACCTGCAGACTCTTCTCCTCTTCAGGAAGTTGAATTCATTCCATCCCAGTTTCTGTGCAGCACACTGAAATCTCAGCTATGCTTCAAAACCCATGTGATAAAGAGAAAAAAAGAGTGACGATTATATCTGATATCCAAGTTGACTTCCCGTAGATCAGGAATAAAGGCTAACCACATTTGCAATGTGTTGTTGACAGAAAAGTGTTTGCAGGGAAGGGTCTGAAACCTTTTCTCTTATCATTTAGAAACGAGGAATTACAGCCATAAAAATCCAGTGATGGGCTATTTTAAGCACAGAATGCGATCATTCTAAACATCAGGGTTGTGAAAGCAATAATTCAGTTCCTAGTAATTAATCCATAAATTTCCTCTCCAATACAATTCAATTCCTAAACGAAGCACGATATATCATCTAAAAATGTGTATGACAACGTCATGCTTTTTCCTGCTTAATTTAAAATAAACAGCAGCGCTCACTTGTTAAATGGGAGAAAGACTGTGCAGAGAATTATTCAACTCACTATATTGGCCAATCCAGTGATTCTCAAAGTGTGGGACCCCCACCAGCAGCATAAGCATCACTTGGGAATTTATAATATATGCAGGCCCCACCCCAGACCTTCTGTATCGGATCCTGGGGCCAGGGTTCTGGGTTTAACCAGCCCTCCAGGTGGTTCTGACACACACTCAAATTTGCCCTATGGTTTCATTCTCTCATAGGCATGCCAAGCCCTGCCCACTCGAGACAAGAAGGCCACTTTCCAGCAGACCCAAGGACAGCTGCCTCCCAGGGTCAAGATGAATATTTACCTAGAGGCAGTTGTGTTTATTCTAAATACCCATTAATGCCATTTGTACTGACTATTATATTTAAGTTTACTAGCTTTCTTTTTTAAAAAAAAAAATGTGATCTGTAAAGGAATAGACAAGATTGTAAAAAAATCTTCAAAGGTTCTACACTCACATCATTTCATAAAATGTACAAATTTCACCCTCCAATTTAGGGAAACTGAAACCGCAGTTGTAGATAATGCATCATGGATATGGTTTATGTAAGAATTCCCATCATGCCCTGGTGTTACATCAAAGTATTTTCAAATGAAACTATATGTAAATTTTTTTTTTTTTGAGGAAAATTAGCCCTGAGCTAACATCTGCTGCCAATCCTCCTCTTTTTGCTGAGGAAGACCGGCCCTGAGCTAACATCCGTGCCCATCTTCCACTTCCACTTGGCAGCATGGCTTGCCAAGCAGTGCCATGTCCACACCCAGGATCCGAACTGTGGAACCCTGGGCCACTGAAGTGGAACGTGCGCACTTAACTGCTGTGCCACTGGGCTGGCCCCTATATGTAAATGTTTTATGTTAAAATATTTAGGGTATATATACATTGTTTCTTAAGACTTCTTGTCTGCTTGACTATTTTTTATTAACTAATAATCTCCAATTATGGCATCTAGTGTATTTTGAAGAAGTTTTATAACAAAATTTTGAATATATTGATCAAAAAATTTAAAATATTTTTTATTTAAAATCAGCTCTTTCTCACATGCCAGTAAAAATTGCTAAAAATACATTTAAAACCAGTCATGAGGATTTGCAATTCTAAAAAAGTTGGGAGATGCTATTATTTATTTAACTGCTCCCTCTTGTCGGAGGTTTTGGTTATTTTCAATTTATCAATATTGTAAGTTATCGTAAATAATTCTACAGTCAACGTAGAAATGCTAGTTTGTTAAATTAGTCTTAACTTTGATCTCACAAGTTCTATAAAATGGAAAATTTCGTTTTGGATCTTGTGTCTACTGTTGCAGAGAATTTGAGAATGCAGGAATTGCCATTTTCACATAAATATTTTAACAATGAGTGACTGCTTGATTAGCCCAGATGACTTGGAACTATTTGTTCATTTCTCCAAAGAGTGACTACTTATTCCTTTGTCCTTCCAAATTTTTGAATCTGTGCAACTTGAATGCTGGAAATCCACAACAGGAAACAAACAAGCGAAGAAGTAATTACCAGCTGCAGCTGAGGTCAACAGATTCGTTTGGACTTTAGTCCTCAGCCCAAGGTGAACAATTGCCGGCTGCAAATCAGTTGCTAGAAAGACTGACATCCTCCAGCAGAGGAAGAAAGTGAAGTCCTTGGCAGATGGTCTTGGATATTGAGTTAAGCTGAAATATTACATTCCACTTTCTGTAATATAAAAATCTTAGGTTAAATAGGGTCCAATCATTGTCAATTTCATGTCACTCAGCCCAAGAAAAGCCTACTATTTCATAGGATCAAGGAGCATTTCAGGGCCTGCCTAGACAGCATTCCCCCAGACAAGTCTGAGGACAGCGGGGAGGGGAGGGAGAGCCTGGGTTCTCAGTGGGGGCCAGCAGGACCCTCGTTGTGCCCCATGGAACCGCCTAACAACCAGCAGGCTTGAGCCCTGCCAGGGGTGGCTGCCAGTCAACTGTTTCTCCCTTGTCCTCCTCATCGACTCAGTAACATTAGTGAATATTTCTCAATTTGTTTTTTCTTCCTCTTCTCCTGGTCTTAAGCTGAAAGTTTTGGAATGATTTTAGTTACTCTCCCCTTGCTCCAATTCCCAGTTTTTCTAAGTTAACTTAGTACTTTTGATTTAATATTGTGCAGTGTGAGTGCTTGACAGTTGGCTGTTTTAAAAAAAATTGAAAGGCAAGTGCCTGACATTAAGCTTTTGATTGCCGAGGCATCCACTTCAAAGACAGCTATCTCAGTAAACACATTGCCAGCTATCAGACTGAATAAAGAGCCACCCCTCCCCCCCAGTTTTAGAGATCTCTAGTTGACTTAAATAACTGACCATTTGCTTGTTTGTGCCTTCTCGCTATAATATTTTAAATTCACCAATAAGGAGTGAATCCTCGAAATCCTAAGCACCCTACTCTCTACCCCAACAAAACAGAACCCCAGGTCCATGCTCTCTCTCTACCCACAACCTTGCTGTGTGGTCCCAGGCACACCCTGTACCCTCCAGGACCTGTGAGTAGTAAACCTTGTCCTTTCAAGGTTTCCTGATGGTTATTGCCAAGGTGCATCTTGCAATCAATCATAGTAAGAATCACAAGGGCTGGTCCAGCCACAACATTGGTTCTGAAAGGGTAAATGTCTATGGGGCTCACCGTGGGCCCAGGTGAGTGCCCCTAGGCACTTCTAGCCAGTAGCGTCACTATCGATAGGCTAGACCCACACAAAATATATTGTTGAATTATCCATAAGGTGTGCTCTTTTGTTTCAAGAGTTCGTATTTGTGCTTATATACAGGTTACCATCTACCCTTATTCACTTATATAGATATGGATATATTACAGATGTAATACCTCAAGTTTCATTGTTCATGACTGTTTCCTGTCATCTTCATCTTGCCCTATCTTTTTTTTTTTTTGAGGAAGATTAGCCCTGAGCTAACATCTATGTCCATCCTACTCTATTTTATATGTGGGATGTTGCCACAGCATGGCTTGACAAGCAGTGCATAGGTCCATATCCAGGATCCTAACCAGTGAACCCCAGGCCACCAAAGTGGAACATATGAACTTAACTCCTGCACCACCATGCCAGCCCCCATCCTGCCCTATGTTTTTTTTTTAAAGATTGGCACCTGAGCTAATATCTGTTGCCAATCTTCTTCTTTTTTTTTCTTCTTCTTCTCCCCAAAGCCCCCCAGTATATAGGTGTATATGCTGGTTGTAGGTCCTTCTGGTTGTGCTGTGTGGGACACCACCTCAGCCTGGCCTGATGAGTGGTGCCATGTCTGTGCCCAGGATCTGAACTGGTGAAACCCCGGGCTGCCAAAGCACAGTGCACAAACTTAACCAGTTGGCCACAGGGCTGGCCCCCATCTTGCCCTACCTTAATGTCTGGGTTTGTGTTCTGGTTGGAGCATTCCCTTGAGGAAATCTTTCATTTGGGAGCACTTATGTGTATAATATCTGAATTCATGCATAGCCTCAAATTTCTTCGATATGTGAGGTGGGATATCTTGGCTAGGTATAGAATTGTGGCCTTCTTTTCTCTCAGAAACCTGTAGGTTGGATTCTACTGTATTTTAGCTTCTAGTGTTACACATGAGAAGTCCAATGCCAGTATGATTCTTTTTCTTTGGGAAGTGATTTGTTCTTTTTTCCCTGACAATTTTATGATTTTTCCTTTTTTTTTTGAATTCAGGAATTTTACTGGGATTCTCCTAGAGTGTGTCTTTTCTCATAAGTGCCATCTGGAAATCAGTCTACCCTTTCAATTTGAAGGCCACCAATATCTATTCAAGTTACAGAAATTTTATTTATTTATTTTTTTTGAGGAAGATTAGCCTTGAGCTAACATCTGCCACCAATCCGGCTCTTTTTGCTGAGGAAGATTGGCCCTGAGCTAACATCCATGCCCATCTTCCTCTACTTTCTACGTGGGATGCCTACCACAGCATGGCTTGCCAAGTGGTGCCATGTCCACACCTGGGATCTGAACTGGCAAACCCCAAGGTGCCAAAGCAGAGTGCACAAACTTAACCGCTATGCCCTGAGCCAGGCCCTTCTTTTATTATTTTTTTTAAAAATTGTCTCTTTTTCTGGAGCTCTACTATAGAATTAGGTATTTAGGCCTATTCTCCAAGTCTCTTATCTCCTCTTTTTGATATACTGTTTTTCTCTAGTCATTGAGATGCTTCTTGGACTTGCGTTCCCAAGCCCACTGAGATGAGCCTTAACAGTAAACTTCTCTTCTATTTATCTTGGGAATAGCTTAATTGTGTATGTATTTTAGCTTTATAAATTCTTTATTATGTTGCCAATGACTCCCTTTATTTGATCTTATTTTTTCGCAACTAAATTTCTGTCTATCTCCTCCAGCAGCTTTACCTTCTGGGGCATGTATTCTATTTGTTACAACAGAAATACAGAGAATATAGAAATATTCTATTTCTGTCTGTTACTGCTAGCCTTGCTTAGGTGGAATTTGTTGTTGTTGGTGGTAGATGTCTTATTGGAACACCTGACGTGATGTTGTTTAAATACTCTAAAAGGCAACAGGCACAGGAGGACGGAGGCAAACCAATCTCCATTCAGGAAGTTTCATGTATAGAAGTCAGACCGCCAGCCCTCACTGAGGTGCGTGAGGGAAGACTCCCTGACACAGGTCCTCACGTACTTTACCAATCCTACGGGCAGGAAGGGCTTAGCTACCCGATTTAGCTTCTTAACATCATGGAAGCCAAGTACCCAGGCCCATTTTGTCAGGGCGGATGGTGATTTTCACCAGGGGCTCCTTTTATCTGTAAAAGGTACATTCTTCCCAATATCCACCATTGTCGATCCTGAGCTGCCTGAAACTGGTCTCCAGGCAATCTCCTGCCCCTGGGAGAGAAAGCCCCATGCTGGTTCTCCCTGCTGGAATCCAACGGACCGTAAGACCCTGAGTTCACACAGCTTCCTAACCCCAGCAGTTGGCTGGCTCAGGAAGCTCAGGTCGATTGGGGATGGGAGTAAAAGGAAAGAGGTGGCCACATTCAGATGGCTACACTCCCAAGATGCTTTTGCATCCACTGAGAGGGCTGATAAGTATTTTTCTACTCATGGTTTAATAAGATAAAAATCTCTCAAGCACAAATGTATTTGAATTTTCCCAAAGGCTTCTTCCGTATATATCAAAACGGTCCTGTTTTTTCTCTCCTCTGACTCATTGATGGGATAAATTTTGTCACCATCTTTGCCAATACCAAGCAACACTGTCACTCCTGGAATAAACCCCCAACCAAGTCATTTTATCAGTTAGGACGCTTTCACCTAAAAATAATAAAAAGCCCAACACACACACGAATTTAAACAATAAAGAAGTTATTGATGTATATAGCCAGAACGCCCAAAGTAAGGCAGGTCCATGGTTGGTTGATTCAGTGCTCAACAGCCATCTGGGACCCAGGGTTTTCTGTCTCTCTGTTCTTCTGCCCATGACATCAGCTTTGTTCTAAAGCACATATTCCTTCTGGTCATAGGATGGTTTCCTATGCTCCTATGATTTTGTTTGTTTGTTTGTTTGTTTTTGAGGAAGATTAGCCCTGAGCTAACATCCACTGCCAATCCTTTTCTTTTTGCTGAGGAAGATTGGCCCTGAGCTAACATCTGTGCCCATCTTCCTCTATTTTATATGTGGGATGCCTGCCACAGCATGGCTTGATAAGCCGTGTGTAGGTCCGCACCCAGGTTCCTAACCGGCAAACCCCAGGCCTCCAAAGTGGAGCACAAACATAACCTCTATGCCACCGGGCCAGCCTCACTCCTATGGTTTTTAATGGCAGTTGGGGCTCCATGCTTTCTCTCTTACCTTAGGCAGAAGAGATTCATTTCAGGAAGCTCTCCCATAAAAACATAGAGGAAATTTTCTAAAAGACCCTGAAAGTGTCTCCTTGCATTCCATACACCTGGATTGTGTTGGTGCCATTCCTGAGCCAGCCACTGTCGAGGTAATGGGAGTTACCTTTAGAACAAACAAATCCCCCCTCGGAGTTAGGGATGGAATCGCTTTCCCTAAGGCAAGTTGACAAAGGGTGGATATCTGAATAAAATTGGGTTCCGTTATGAAGCGAACAAGGCAAACGGATACAGGACAGGCAAACAACAATGTAGACCACATTTGTGAGGGATTATTATTTTCATGTGATGCTGCATTCATTTTGCTAATATCTTACATTGAATTTTTCATATTTTTATATAGTTTTCTTCATTATGGTTATTTCTCATAAGAAAAATATCTTGGGAATTTTCTACGAGAAACCTAAAACTATGCGGCCCATCCTCCTCCCAAGCTTCTAGATTGGGGTCTATCTGATTGTCTCCTGCTATTGCTCCTCCAACCACACACCACCAAAGGATTCAAATAATGTGCTTTCAACTTTGCTGAATTTGGAAAAGCTACAGTGATAAGCTTTAGACCATCCTTTCAATTCTACCAATATCTAATTTATTCATGCTCTGGTCTTTGATCAGTTTATTTTTAATACCCAAACATATTTTATTATATCTTTATTCTTTTTTAAAGTAAACTTTTTTATTTTGCAGTTATAAGAAATAATAGAGAGATCCTATGTACCCTTTGCCCAGTAACATCTTGCAAAACTGTAGGACAATATCACAACCAGGATATTGACATTGATACAGTTAAGATATAGGATATTTCCATCACCATAAGCATCTTTCATGTTGCATTTTTAAAATTATTTTTTATTTTTAATTGTGGTTAAAAAAACACATAATCTAAAATTTTCCATCTTAACATTTTTAAATACACAGCGTGGTAATGTTAAGTACATTCGCATCGCTGCACTGCTATCTTTAGGACAGTACCGAAGATTGCTTCTCCTTACTCCATTCTTCGGTGAATATTAAGCATCTACTTCTGCTTAATATTCGCCTGGCCCTGTAGTGGATACAGTAGCAGTGTGAGCATGTCACAGGTAATGTGTAAGATGTGGTACCCGATTAAAGAAAACTTTAACCTTTGGTGGGAAGGGGGAAACACATGAAAAAATAACAAAATAGATAGTATATTCCCCCAAAGACAAATTATAGAATAATCAGACAGTTCTTATGTCTCATTCCTTCTTCCTTTCTTTTATCCCTTTCAGTGCATATTTTTTTAGTCTTCCAGAATTCTGCTTCCCTCTTTCTATGTCCTTTTTTCTTCTATTTTCTTCCCTAGATATTTCAGAAACCAAGCGTTGTGAAACTGATTACCTCCGGTGGAATTTCAAAGTGATTATCTAATTAATCACAGTATACTAAGAACTTTTCTATTTTTTTCCACCCGCCATGAAATTGGTTAAAATCACAAGGACTGTCCTTTATAGGCTTCCTCCTTCTATGGTAAATTGATTTGGTCTGTGTCCAGCAGGTGGCGCAAAAGGATAGTTAATAAAAGTCACTGCGTCTCCACTGTGCACAAAATCTTTTGGAGTTTATAGCATTTTGAGTCATTCTACTTGATTGCATAATAACCAAAACTTTGTATGGTCTATCCTTTGAATATTTTAGCTCCTAGATCACTATTACACTTCTCGGTTTTTTGTCTTCCTCATGTCCCTGATCTCTTCCCATTAGGGAGCCCAAACTTTTTCCTTTGGACTTCTCCTCTTTGCTGTCCACATACTCACCTTTGGTGATCTCATTCCATCTGGTGACTTGAAATACCATCTATATGTGGATGACTGCCAAATTTCTATCTCCAACGCGGACATCTTCCCTAAGTCCAGGCTCCATTCAGGTGTCTCATTAGCGTCTCAACTTAATATGTTCCATACAGAGCTCTCTGCTTCTTGCAAAGCATTTCCCATCTCAGTGAATGGCAACTCCAACCCCCTGCCCCACCCCCCGCATGGCTCAGGCCCCAAACCCTGACGTCCTCCTTGACTTCTCTCCTTCCTACACATTCTCTGTCTAGTCCTTTAGCAGATCCTGTCAGCTCTTCTTTCAAAATACATGCAGAGTCTGACCACTTCTCACCACCTATGCGCTAAATCCTTGTCCAAGCTACAACCATCTCTCACCTGGATTGTTGTCATAGCCTTTTAATCCACCCCCTCGCTTCTGTCCTGTCTCCTGTCTATTCCAAAGACAGCAGCCAGAGTGACCCCGTTAAAACATAAAAGAGATCGTATCACATTTCTAATCCACATTGCAAAGACTTCTCATTTCATACCAAGTAAAAGCCAAAATAATTAGGTACAGTGGCCTACGAGGCCATAAATGACCACCCCAAATTTCCCTGGGCTTCATCTTCTAGTACTCTCCCCTCCCTCATTCTGCCCCAGCCACACTAGGACCTCATTACTCCTCAGGCATGTCAGATGTGGTCCCACCTCGGAGCCTTTGTGCCTCTTGTTCCCTCTGCCTGGGAGCCTCCTGCCCCAGACAGCAACACAGTCGCTCTTCCACCTTCTCCAGGCCAGTGAGCTCTCCCCTGACCGCCTGGTTTAAAAGCACAGTCTCACCACTCCCATAATTCTCTAGCCTGCTTCTAGCTTTGTTTTTCTCCGTAGTGATTTATACACACCAACACACACGCACACACACACACTCACAATTGGTTTACTGGCTCTTCCCAGCTAGAGTGTAAGATCCATGCGGGCAGAGACTTGTGTCTGTTTTGATCACTGCTCTGTCCCCAAGACCAGTGTGAGCACCTGGCACACAACTGGCTCTCGACACGAACTTGTAGAATGAGTAAATAAATGAATGATCACGCTGCGTTGAATTGATGGTTGAATTCCAGAATATATCTCAGTACACAAATCTCTCCTACTGCTGGTGACATATAGCACTTTGACCCTCTGAAATACAAGCCTAGGCAGATCTCCAAGTCCTTGGTCAAGGTTTTATTGAAAAGAAGATTAAAACTCAGAACAAACCAACTCACAGGCTTTAGTAAATCATTTACCAACATACACTCTGCCAACAACTTTCTTTCCTTGATCCAGCTTTTATCTGAATGTCCAACTTCTAATGGAGTAAATTCTCCAAGGCTGAACACAAATGACACTTTATAAAATACCAGCCAGTGACAGAAAAACGTCCTCACCCTTAGAATCATCTACAAATTTAGGGTTTCTTCAGCCTAGCCAATATTTTAGAAACTTGAGAATGGATGACTATAATTTATTTTTTTGAACCACACTAAATTTCTCCTGTGGCCACTTAAGTATCTTTAAGCCCTAAGATACGTTCATTAATCTTAATAAAAAGGAAGGACTTTGGGTCTCTAGCTTCCAAATTACAATGTGTCCTATATTTCAAATGAGAAGGGTGTTATTGAGTCATTTCTCTGACTTTTTGTCAGGTAAAATAATTGCAGTTTATTTGCTCAGAAAAGCGAGCCACATCCAAACTCTCTTTCGTGCCAATGAGATTAAAATGCTAAGGCCTTTTTGGGAGGGTGGGGTAAGGAATGAGGACAGTAGCATTAATTCCTATGGAGAGAGTACAGTGGCCTAGGAATTCTCTTTGGAAATCTGCATATTTTCCATACTGTCTAGCCTTGAAAACAGTTTTCCGATCCAGCTATCTGATATGCCCAACCCCCATCTAAAGAATAATTTTGTCTTTTCACTTTAAATACTTTTATGCTTTATGGAAAAAACCAACCAACTCTTTGCTTATATAGTTTGCCCTTGACTATCCAGTCTTTCATGCAATGTGTCAATTTACCGCGTATTTTGTGCTAGACATTGTGCTAGGTTTTAGAGAAACAGAGAATATAGCGATAAAGAGAGTAAAATTTAACAGAGGCTCAGAATCGTTAGAAAGATATGCAAACAGATCGTCAAAATGCAATGTGATGCACTTCAAATTTGAGCACAGAGGAGAAGAGAGAGAAACTCTATTTCTGAAGGATTCGGTGATGGTTTCATGGAGAAAGTGACATTTAAGCAGAATCTTTCCTGATGAGTAGGAGTCTGCCCAATATAGAAAGAGGAGAAAGACTCCAGGGAGAGACTGTATATGCAAAGACAGAGAGTGTGAAAGAACAGGCCATGGCAGTAGAACAGGGAAATGTTTAGTGTGCCTGAACCAGAGATGCAGTGGAGGGAGATGTCACTGGAAAAGCTGAAGTGACTGTGCCCATGCTCAATGCTTGGGTTTTATACTGTAAACATGAGAGGGTTTTAGGCAAGGGACAAATGCCCCAATCTGATTTAGGACAATCACTCTAGCTGGTACAGTGCTTCTTGAGGTATGGCCCCAGACCAGCAACTGCAGCCTCCCCTGGAATCTTGATAGAAATCCAGACTATGGCTTCAACCCCAGACTTTAGAGTCAGAAATTCTCATCATGGAGCTTGGCAATCTGTATTGTATAAGGTGCCCAGCTAATTCCGATGCACATTCAAGTTTGAGGACCTCTGTTCTAGTAACAGCGTGGAAGATGGAGTGGGGGTAAGGACAAATTGAAACTCTGTGGGTTCTTCCAAATAGCTCATCCATGCGGGGGAAAAAAAAAAAGGCCAGGGGCATGAGTTTGGGCAAGACAGGATGCATCAGAAAGACCTTTCCAAAACTTCATGTTTGGCAGGAAACAAGCAAAGGATGTCTGGAGCACCAGTTCTCAAATCTCATGGATTCCCAAAATTATCTATGTGGCTTTTAAAAAATATAACTTCCAGGTCCCATTCTCAACTCACGAAACAGAATCAGCATACTGTTTTGAGCTCCTCTTCCTCTGCTGTTCTTACGTCTTCTCTATATTTTGTGGGGGGTTTTGCTCATGGAATCCTCTCTCTTGCTAAGATTAACTACTTGCACTTTCAGGGGATTTCTGGTAAGTACCACCTGCCTTCCTTATAGAGGAAGACAGCTTTCCAGCATGGGAGCTGCGAGGGGCTGTCACTACACAGAGACCTCTGGCTCTTAATTCCTGCCACTCATTAAATCCCCTGGAGAGATTTTTTAAATGCTGGCTCAACCTCAAGCTAAATAAACTAGAATTCCTGGGGGTAAAGTACTTCTAAAATGCTCCCTTGGTGACTCTAATGTGCATCTAGCATGAAGAACTGTGAAGTAGACCAACAGCTTCATCTTTGTGAGAAGGAGTCAGAAAGAAAGAGATCCTAGAGCCAAGGAGGAGCATCCTCATGTGACCCGGGTCCGATAAGGGCATAGTCAATGGTATTAAGATGCTTAAAAGGTGGAGAGGAATGAGTACCAAGAAAAGATCATTACATCTAGTCATGAGGACAAGGCTATTGGACTTCCAGGCACAGAAGGCGGAACAAAGCCAACTCGTAGAATCTCTCCCCAGTAGTTAAAGCAATGAACAAAATATTGAAAACGAACACAAAAGCCCAGGAAACAATAAAACAAAGGAAACAGTAAAAACTTACCTGCCTCAATTAAACAAGAAAAAAGGAAGAGCTTGATGTCATACACTTTGAAAAAGAAGCATCAAGGGAAGGACCAAATGATTCTGGAGTGGTACAGTCTGGTGTGGCTCCTGACTGCTTTCTCTTCCCCAAAAGCACTACTGAAGAAATAAGATGACTGACTGAGCCAACAACATCTTGAGCCTTCTCACTAAACCCTTCTGGTTCACAGAGAAGTGGACTAAGGTCATGGATTGGCATCCCTGGGAAAAATTGTAGAATTCTTCCAGATTAGAAGCCCTTCTCTCCCTTGGGGCCCTTGAAAGATGCTAAAAAGATTACAAGGACTCCACACCCTCCAAGACATTAGGTTGAGCTGGGGAGATGAGCCAAACCTCACGGGAGTTAGATGTATCGCTTTCTAGGTCAAGTGGGCCCTGTTACATTTGACAGTCTCGGAACCCTTTTAGAGCTCACGCCCGCTGGGCTGGCTCGGCCCCAGCTTGGCTCGACCACTACCCTCCTCATACCACCAGGTTACAGAACAGCGATCTAAAAGCAATATCCAGCCTTAAAACTGGAAAGGCAAAATGAACTAGTCTCAGAATGGGGTGGAGAACATGTCAAGTAGAATCCATTGCAGCATAGAAGGGCAATTGGCCATCTGAGCAGAGCTGTCTAAAGCATGGGTGATTTCTGTCTGCTCTACAGATGTTCTGTGGCTGGAAACAAAACCAGACAACACTAAACTAAAGGAAAATGAGAAGTGAAAGAAGACAGCATGCAAAAGATGAGCAAAGAACTCAGTCTGGAAGAAAACATAAACCAAGAAATTAAAGTAGATTTCCCATAAGCACATTATGCTATCGAAGACTTTATTTTAAAAAATTTCTTTTTTAATTCAGGGAGATTCTAACACTCTTCAAGGAAATAATAGTTTTAGAAGAGTGGTGAGATGGAAACCAGATCCCAAAGAGTACAGAATTGAGTACTTGAGGTAGGTAGGGCTTTTTTATGATAATGATTAAAAAGAAGAAAAACAGAAGTTTGAGGGTTTATCTGAGAAAGAGAGGGAGCCATGAAGATTTTTGTTATTTTTATTATTATAAGATGGAATCATTGAACATATATGTAGGCTAAAGGAAACAAATAATCAAAAATACAAAGACTTAAAAGTTTTTAAAAAGAAGGAAATACTGACACATGCTACAAAATGGATGAACCTTGAGGACTTTATCTAAGTGAAATAAGACAGCCACGAAAAGACAAATTCTGTATGATTCCACTTACAAGAGGTATGTAAGGTAGTCAAACTCATAAAACCAAAAGCAGAATGGGGGTTGCCAGCGGCCGGGGGAAGAGGTGAATGGAGAGCTGTTGTTCGATGGGTATAGAGTTTCAGTTTTGCAAGATGAAAAATTTCTAGAGCTCTGTTGCACAACTATGTGAATGCACTTACTACTGTACACTTAAAAATGGTTAAAATGGTAAATTTTATGTTTTTTTACCATAATTATAAATAAATTAGATAGATAGATATACAGAATCTTAAGGTCCAAATAGTCACCTTTTATCACTCACTGTGAGCGCTCCTGCTCACCTGTTTAGAATGATTTCCATCCTCTCTGATGGAAAAGAATCCTGATTCAACAAAGAGGAGATAAAAGTCAAAAGACAGCGAAAGACTGAAATTTAGTAGCATCATTTGAGCCCCTAGGTCAAGTTATACCTGAAACAGTAAACGGCTGGAATTTTCAATTTGGAGAGAACATAAAACTCATGTTTTTCTTAAAGAAAAAAACTGAAAGGCATCCTATTGGATCCAGCCTGACTTGTATAATATCTTTCAGATTACAATGTAGAAAACAACTTGGACTAAATCATTTTTTCAATCAAAGGTTAATAACTTTTCTTAATAAGTTACTAATAGATTACATGCACTCCACCACAACTTAATCTGCGTTTAGCTCAATGTGCTAATTAATTGGTTGTGCATTGGCTGTGGCACATTTTGCTGTAGAATATAAAAGCACTGGCTGGGTTCATGAGGAGAAAAATGAACTGTGCCCTCTGTGTCAAGCAACAGCTTTGCTTTCTCATGCATAACTGTTTCGATTCTATGCCAAAGCTCCAATATCCGTATAAGTTCTGGAATTCTCACAGATGGGTTTGCGAGATGATTCTTATTCATTTTGCTGCAATTCCCCTTCTGTGCATCCACTCTCCCATTTGGTTATTTTTGTCGTTACTCAAGCTGGAGATTCTGGTCTGCCTGTAATGAGCCATCTCTCTAAACTGCTTTCTAAGGTGGTCAGCAAGCTTCTTTAATTTAAGAACATTCAGAAATCTCCATCTGAAGGGGGAGGGACCTCAGGAATAGTTCACCTACAAGATGAATGGAATGGGCTTCTTGCTTCTCCTCTGTCCAATTCAAAGAGAGAGCTTTCATTGGAGTTCATTGCCTCCCCTTTTATTGATCTCTGGTTCTTCCAAGGAGGTGTAGAGATAGCTAAAAAATAAAACAGTGTCTGTAGCCATAGTAACCTCTGATGAAAAGGATCAACAGCTATTTCAAAGGACAGTTTAGTTCAAAGACTTAAAGCCAAAATTGAGCCAGCACAGGCCAATCAATATGGAAAGCAAATGTTTGCTGCGTCGGAATAACAGTCTCTCCAGGAGAAGAATTTTTTGGAATTGAAGCTGTCTCAGGTGACTTTTTTTAAAACCCAGTTGAAATTATGGCTTACAAATGGCATTACATCATGATTCATTTAGCATTAGAGAAAAAACATTTTCATGTGAGGCATTTTCATTTCTATCAGGTAATTTTTATAATGGCTGCATAATATTTCACCTAGTGGATATACAACTTAGATCTTCGCTAACCTTTCTTTCTCCTGTTGAATATTTTGGCTGTTTCTGATATTGCACTATTAAAGATAACCATGATGAATATCCTTGTCCATGTAGCTTTCCCTGTATTGTGAATTGTTTCCTTATAACATCCTCAGAAGGGGAATTATGGCGTCAAAGGGTAAACATTTTTATCGTTCTTGATCCATGCCACTCAATTGGTTTGCAAAGTGGATTTAGTCAACTGAAGATCAATTTCACTCTCTTCCTGTTAACACTGAATATCATTGAAATAATTTTGATTGTAATTAAGAGAGAGGAAATGTTCATTTGCACTCATACTATTACTACTGAAATTAAACACTTTCCATATATTCTTTATTAATTTATATCCCTTTTTGTGAATTATTTGTTTATGTAATAGTTTGTAAACCAGTGGAAGAGGTGAAGTTTATTCTAGAACTTTCTAATGCCCTCAAACTCTTCCTTTCACTCATCTCAAGTACGTGTGACAAGCAGGCCAGAAAAATTCCCATGATGCTCTACTCTCACACTAGGCAACTCGTGAGGCCGTGCACACTGCCTTGAGCTTCCAGGCAAATCCCAGGTGCTTTTGCATTACCCACTTCATTCATGCTTCCCTCTACTACTTGAGAGAAGTGATGCCACCATTCCCGCACTTGGAGAATTTATTCCTGAAGTCAGTGGTTCTCAATGTTGACTGTACCTTAGAATGACCTGGGGGAATTTTAAAATTCCCAATACCCAGCACATTCTACACAGCAATTAAATCAGAGTCTCTAGGGATGGGACCTGGCATCAGTGTTTTTAAAAGCTCCCCTGAGGACTCCCAAATACAGCCAAGGTTGAGAACCACTGCTTTAAATTCACAGTTTCACTATGCTAGGCCCTCAGGGTGCAAAGGCCCATGTGAGTGGCTCCTGCCCTCAGGGAGCTCACAGCTGGGTGGTTGGGGTAGCAAAGCAGACTGTGATGTTTTTAAAAGTGAGTAGCATACACACACACACACACACACACACACATATGTATACACACACGTATACACATATGTATGCCCTTTTAATAACGATAACCTTTAACTTGATCAACCAGTGGCATCAACTTAACGGAGTTTTTCTGCACTCAGTTTTCATCATTAAGAGGCAAATTAGGGGCTGGCCCTGTGGCTGAGTGGTTAAGTTCACGCTCTTCACTTTGGCAGCCCAGGGCTTCACCGGTTCAGATCCTGGGCACAGATCTAGCACCACTCCCCAGGCCGTGCTGAGGCGGCATCCCACGTAACAGAGCCAGAAGGACCCACAACTAGAATATAGGACTATGTACTGGGGGGCCTTGGGGAGAAGAAGAAAAAAAAAAGAAAGAGGTAAATTATACGAAAACAAAGTGACAATAAAAACACAATGTAACAAAGGCCGAGAGAGTTTGTGACGATCTCTCAACTTTCTGTCACTCCTCACCTGCAACATTGATTCTCCACATAGAGAACTGATTTTTCAAAAGGGTCACCTTAAAGCATCATCGGATTCTGACTCGCCTAAAAAATGGTTGGTTATGTTCACGATGCTGTATTTACTGAGGCAAAATATATATGTACAGATTAGAAATATCATCTAAAAACTAGAGATAAGAAAGAATTTTCACTTTATTTCTCTTAAGAAATTTAAACTCATTTCACGCCTCTCACTGAGGTTTCGGCAGCAACATGTCTCTCTTCACTAGGTGGTGCTCTGGACAAATTCATAAGCTCTCGGCTTTGCCACAGCTAATGCCCGTTCAGAGAAACTCAAGTCTCATTCGGTGGCAGAAATGCCTATTCATTCATAGTCAGAATCGAAAGCAATCAAAAATGGTTTTCTTACATTTTGCTAATTGAGATATAAAGTTAGGCCTGTTTCAATGGTATTTATGACTATCCATTCAAATATTGTCTTTAGAATTTTAAAAACCTACCTTATTATTTTATTGAATTCTACCGCATTTCCCAATTATGAAGACAATTGTAGGTTTTGAAATGGCTTCATGGGCTTCATCTTACAGACATTCAGTCCCTTCTTTTTCTATTACAGCCAATAATGAAATATAGCTCCCATCATCTATATATAAAGATCCAAACACACATTAGACCTCAAAGAATTGGATTTATTTTTATGGGTTAAAGCATCTGAATGTTATCTGAGACAGGATTAAATGGAAAGCGTTCCTGACTCTCCTCAACAGAAATAGGACTGGCCCTGGCCCTGGGCCCGGTCGTTGAGTCCTTGGCTAGAATAACATACAGTATTCAGGAAGAGATAGGTCAGGCTCAGAAGCGCCACTCGGGGTGGAGTTGCTGCCCATAGTGGTTGTGCAAGTTCTCAGGAAGCTCAATCAGAATTTCCAGAGGCAGCTGATCACCACCATTCCTTCAGCTATGCTAGGAAGGGCGGGATTCTTGACTGTCCAGGAGGCCCAAACACCAAATTGTATCCCGTGTCCATCCCCATCTAACCACAGGTCCTGTCTCATGGGTTCTTCTCTCTGACATCTGTGTTGCTATAGATAGACCATTAAAATGAGTTTGGGCTCTTCTGTTGTAAAACCAAGCTTGATAGCAAGAGCCAGAGAAGGCCAAAGATATGCTTGCTTCCTTCTAGCACTAGGAGAAATGTTACCTCGGGAAAGCTGGATACTAATGAGCGGAGAAAACGACAGTAATATTTCATCCTTCCATTGGCACGGCCTAGAGGTTGGCTGGTCTCTGATTCTGCCTCAGCAAACATGATGCACTTGACATTCATAGCAGTTTCTCAGATGAAGATATTGGTGCCCGAGTGATTACATGGCACTCTTTCTGATTGCCAGTTGATTCTCTTTCCTGGCACCCTCTAGGGTCCAAGCCAGCCATGGATAGCATTAGCCAGTCCCCTCACTTCAAAGAGCAGTGCCCCTCAATCTGTCGCTGGTGCTTTCACACAAACACTGCTTCCTCTTTCTAAGAAATGTTCTCCAAAGAACATGGGGTACTTGGAATGAACACACAAATTAATATGGAAGGTGAGAGAAAGGGGAAATGGAACACCTACCAAGTCATAGCTTTCAAAGGAGAACAATATTCTGCTCAAGACAAACTTCACACCCCAATGGGGAATCTGGCCACATAGGACAGGCGGACACTTCACGTCAGATGAGTGCTGTCCCCATGTGAGGCCAGCCAACCTGGAATGACGTGGTGTTCACGTAAAACCAAGAGAGAGGGGAGGAAGCCGCGGGGTAAGTGATGCCACTAGTAAGGCTAACGTGGGTGTGCGTGTGGCTCTTCCTAAATGTCCCCCTGCCCTCCTTGTGCTGGGGGGAGT